CAACAGTTACCAATAATTCAACATGTAGCTCCAGGTGTACACACACACACACACACACACACACACACACACACACACACACACACACACACAGGTACAGAGTGCCTGAATCATCAAGACAGTGACTGATCGTTTCCTCTGCTACTGTTGTCATTATGACAGCGAGTCGCCTCAACAGGAAGCTGGCCGGCATCCAGCCCTAAGGATGCGTAAATACACACAGACACACAGAACTGTGCAAAAGTCTTGAACCAACTTTCAAATGGGAAGTGGATTATTAAGTGCAAACATGAAGGCAAGAACCGAGTTTGTAGAATTCTAACAACCTTACGTGCGGTACTTTAGCATTCATAATTTCATCCCGTTTTGAAAATCTCCAACACCACTAGATTAAACGCAGCCCCATCATGACACAGCCTCCACCGCATTTTACACACGCTGTAGACCATCATGGCCACGCCTCTCTCCTGACCTAAAGTAGTCTGGCTCACTGGAAGCAAAATATAAATAAATCGCTGGACTCGAGACTTTTGAACAGAGATGGATCTCCTCAGAACGACAACAATAAAGAGTCGTGCTGAACAAGAAAACTAGAAAGCATGGTATACACACACAATCTCACAAACATGCCCATAAAGGCCGCCTCCTCCACTTAATCAATCCAGGAAGCAACCACCATTGATGTTACAGTCCAGTGATCATGAAGACAGCAGCCTCTGATCATTTGTCAATAGCAGAAAAGTAAAAATCAATAGAAAGCGTGCAGCCAGCTTCAAAAACAGCAGCACAGAATACTGGGACCTCCTGCAGTTTGTTGACTGAGGAAGAATAAATCTGAAGCTTCAGGATGCTTTTATTTCTCCGGCTCTTTTCCTAAGTTTGCAGTCAGACTTGTTGCTGTTTAAGCTGCTGAGGACTTTACATTCTGCTGACACTTCAGAGACTCCACCATCAGCACGATGAGTAAAACAAGAACAACCAAAGTGTTGACGAACTTAATCACCAATCAGACTTTAACGAACATCTCTAGGAGTTCTCACACAGACACCTTGATGGTCGCCCTCTGGAGCAGCTGTGTGTCAGCTGAATGCTTCCTGAGAGCAGTAATGAAGGCTGTGTGCGTGGGAGTGTTTCCACTTTCAGCTCAGCTCTTTCTGTGATTCCTCTCCATCTTCTCTCCCTTTTTTCCTCTCATCTCTGTGCAAGCATAAGCAGATTCATAAAGCCCCGGGAAATGTTTCGCTTCCTCCCTTTCACTCTTCTTTAAAGCACTTTAGTGGTCTCGCAGCAGCCCACTCGTCTGCTGTGAACCTGAACTCTCGCTCTCGGCTCCTCTTTTAGTTGTTGCTGGACAAAAACTTTTGGCTAAGCAGTTTTTAGCTTTCATGCTCTGAGCTGCTGAGAAAGGGCGAGTCCTGGTCCCAGCTCCCGCCTTTCATCCATTTTTATTTGATTTATTTAAAAACAATACAGCTCTTCTTTATATTCCAAGTGTTGCTGCGGCTTTTACATCACTAGCCTTTTGCTCTTCTCTGTGGACTCTGTGCCGGACACCTCTGCGTCTAAAATAATAACC